GAAGGTGAGCTGTCAAGAGAAAGAAAATACATGGTGACGAAAACCAAACATGAACCTACATTCATATGTTGTAAAGGGCTTTACTCTTACACTTTTTAAAGTCTTCTGCAGCTGACACTGAAATTGCATTTGCCTATTGCTAATTGTTCGGAGAGTCGTTTAGTTCTGACATTAGATTTCCCTTTTTTTTTGTGACTTTTTAAAGTTAGAGTGGGAAATGGTTCTGTTGTGAGCAGCCTCTGCAGCTGTTTGATGTGGCTCTTTTAAAAGGCCCCATCAATTGAGTTGGCCTAAAACTGTTTAAAAGAAGATCTTTAATTTATTGTGCTTAACCAGCTGTTGTGGTTTTACAAATGCCTTTTTTAAAATTTTTAAGTATTTTTTGCATGTGGAAGAACTAGGTTGATTGTTTTGGTTTGTTTCTTGAGTTCTAATACCCAAACTTTTAAATCCAGTTTTGAAAATGGAAAGTCTTGCTGGCTGTGGAAGAAAAATGTGATGTTAAGTGTTGGTAACGTCTGCATCTTGGGAAGGAGTCAGGAAATCTTTTCCTACAGGGCACTTGAATGTTGTGCCATTGTGTCAGATGGCAGGACATTCCAACATGGCAGTTGTTGTGTCTGCAAAATTGGAAGGGTTGATGGACCTGAAAAATACACTGTGCTTTCTGTGTTATATTTTGAGCAAGGAGTTTGTGTTACATCTTGTTGAGGAGTGTTCTGGTGTGTTACCTGATTGAGTCCATCTTACTTTGCACAACTTTGGATGTCTTAAGGCTTTCTGTGCTTCTTCTGAGACCAGTTAAGTATCTAAATGTTACAGTGGACTGTAGGCAGATTAGTGGGTTTGGCAACTCTGTTATAGCCATAAATGCTATAAAGGCAACTTAAATAGCTGCTCCTTCCCCTTTTCAGTATTTGGTTTTGAACTTGGAAATAACTCACCTCTTTGGCTTGCCACTTGGACATTCTAAGGTCCTGGCCTTTTCCTTTGAGATGTTGTGAACATCCTACATGAGTGCTGTAAAGCGCTACAGATTTCTCTGGGTTTCTGGCCTGTTCTGAGGGTCTGAATCCAGTGATGGCACTGCTAGTTCACAACATACATGGAAATCACCAGAGAGGGCAACAAGAGGTGAAGTAAAAGTAATAGGCTTTTATCTTATGCTTCCCATCAGTGTATCTGGTAGTAGTGTTTTTTTTTTCCTCCTCCTCATTCTGTTTTATCCATTTATTTTAAACCAGAACCTTTTACGACTGGATAACAGGAAAGAATCGACCAAACTCAGGGAGCCTAATCCAGGTGGTGACTACAAGAGGGAAGACTGAACTAGTTGCAGCAGCACATCTTTGATGTCAGCCTCTTAAGGTGGTGGAACTTAGCAAAGAAGAAGCTATGGGAAGTCTGTGTGCCACTATAATTTGGGTGGTCTTCTGTATCCAGTAGTTATGTTATTAATGGAACCAGATTTCAAGTAATAAGTCTGTACTGCCAGTGTGTGCTATCGGCATTTTTTGCCAACAGGTATCAAGTATTTGTCTCTAAATGAAAGTTGCAGGCTTGAACGTCTGTGCATATACTAATTCTCAGCATTATATGTCGACTTACCTGTTTTCTCTGAAATGGGAACTGTGCTTAATTATGTCATGTAATCACATTGTAATGGTTGGCTTTTTTTCTTTGTCAGTAAGTGTTCCAGGCAGCTTCCTGTGAATCGTCCTGTAGTCTGTCTGTGTCGGAGAATATGTCCCTCCCCCTACATATTGTGTTGGCTGTAACTGCAGGAAACATTGCAGTTGGGTGTAATGTCCTTCTCGGATAACATTTTTCTTGTCAATGTTTCACTTAAGTTAATGGAACTGTATAGAGATTGCTCACTTGAGAAGGAGTTTCTAATTTGCCTTACAGTTTATAAGCTGCTGTCAGTCATTCTGTCAAATGGTTAGTATGTCTTTGTGTTAGTCATGATGGTTCTTTACTCTTCCAAGAAGCAAAGTGCTGTAAAGAAGTACTAGAAAAAACATATATATGCTTCTATTTGAATATGGAATTTTTTGTGCTAAATAAATATATATTGTTTTATGTGCTGGGCTGTCTCCATCACTGTAACCTAAGTATCTCGGTAACATTTTAACCAGTTTAACTGAACTTGCAGTTTGGTTATGGCAGGGGGCTTTTCATTTACTTCCTTCTGAGCATGCTGCATAGAACACATTTCTGTGGTAGAGGTGCACAAGAGCTACGAGCCATGCACAGAGGCAGGCCTTCAGCTGGAGCAGGTGTTACCTTTAATCCAGCTACATTGCGTGGAAATACAGTTTGGTTGCATAGTGGAAGTATTGCCTAATCTGAGGATAGACTCACATGGAACCAGGACTGCCAGATTTTTTTGAGCATCTTGACAACAGCTGAGTATGCAAAGTTGTATGTGCAGTCTCTCTATGCACTTTTTTAATGGTATTAACTTCAAGGTTAAGGATTTACCATCATGAGTCAGGAAATCTTTCCCTTCTTTCCACTAGGAAAAGCTGATGTGTGTCCTGTCAGTTTTACCATGGTCATATGGGTGCATGATTGCTTCGTTTGAATTGCTGTCCCTTTACTCACTTTGTTTTGCTGGTTGCAAAGGTGTAGGGTAATTTTTATGTCCTGTAAAACCAGTCAGGAACTGTCAATTCATGAAGCTGCTTTGGATTTTAACAAAAGACTGGCAATTTTGCTATTTGACCAGCAATTTCTACAGGCTGAGAGTACACACAAAAGCTGCAAGGCACTGATAAGGAATGAAGCACTAAGGTGTTACTTGGTTATCCTGGAAAAGGGAAGAGCTGTCCTACAAGCTTACATGACTGAAAGGCTTCCCTTTGCCAAGGTAGTCGAATTTCCAAGTTGCATTCAAGTCAGTGTGTTGTGTTGTCTTGCAAACATCAATTGAATTGTGTCTCAGAAGCTGCCTGAACTGCAGATCAAACTCTTGAATGGTGAAGGGCTAGGATCCCAGATGTGCATCATACAGGGCCGAGGACCTGGCAGGCTGTGTGGCTTGTGGGTACTTCTGCAGAGCTTGCTGTGGCAGAAGATGGTAACAGAGCAAATAGGACTAAGATGAGCAGAGACTCTTATTTGCTAAGGGCTGCAGGGGATTTGCATCTTTTAAAGGTTATGTGGGAATACCCAGACCTTAATGTTGCTCTTAATAACGGAAGGAGGAAAGAGGGAAACTGGATTTAAAGTTTGGTAGAGAACAGAGGGTCAGAAAAAGATGAGGTATGATCAGTGCATTTCAGAAGCTAGGTTGATTCCTTCTTTTTTACTGGAAAGACCTGATGGTTCTGGTAGGAAAATCAGGCAAATCTGTGGTTCTGACCTATATGCTTTAGGTTTGCTCTGCCAGAGCTCTGGTTGCGTCAACCGTAGATATGGCCTTGAAAACAGGGGAAGTGTCCACACTATGCACAAACACACACCTGGAGGCTGCAGGTCTGTCATCAAGATTTCCACAGAAAGGTTTGGGTTGAAAGGGACATTTGAAGATCATCTAGTCCAACCCCTTCCCGTGGGCAGGGACAGCTTGGTGTGTCTTAGAGAAATACCTGATAAATTTCCACTCTGGTGTTGCTAAGAACCCCAGAGTTGTTCAGTGTATTTTGCTATTTATATGGTACCATCAACAGCAATTAATACCATGGAAGCAAGAAATTTATTCTCCTTTGAGAAATGCAATGCTTATTAATTTCTTACATATGTTGAGCGGCTGAATTTATCAGGTTGTTTTTGGTTTATTTAGGACTGTACACCTGGTAGGATACTAAAAAAATCCATGTGCACAGAGCCCATTTAGTAAGGCACTTTTCTTTACAACCTTCTTTTGAAGGTGCATACTGCTGTTCACTAAAGTAAAAGATGAGTGAGGTCTGGGGAAAAATAAGTCATCTCACACAGCTCAGTCCTGCTCTCACACTAAGCCGTTTGTGCTTGGTGTTTTGGCTTTCACAGGTCTACCTGTTGTCCTAGAAAAGGGACATTTCCAGACCTGAGCCAGGGTGCCTTACATCCATAGGTGCATGGGTACTTACCCCAAACAGGGGTGGCTGTTACACATGGGATCAGATATGAGCCTGCAGAGACAAGAAACGGCTTTGTCAGAATGCCGGGGCAGCTGGGACAGGCCCACTCTGTAGGGATGTTTTTTTCTCCTGCAGATTTAGAAACTGTAGATTTTAATAAAGCACAAATAAGTATAAAAGAGACTTGTGCAGTAGAATATTGGTCTTACCATTACAAATCCACAGACCTCCGAATACTGGGCAGGACACTGTTTTTGACATTTCAGGTGTAAGTGGGTGCGAACCTGAGCTGCTGCTCGGCCCAAGGCTGCTGCCCTGTGAAGCCTGACCCATGTACCACCCTGCTGCTTTGCAGAACCTTTAGTGCATTGCAGGGCTGAGTCTGAAATGTTCTCAGATTTCACTGTGAAGTGAAATCCATGTATTTTATCAACAGGTTTAATTAGTTTTCAAAGTTACATTTTTATGGGAAAATTAGTTTTCTGCCAATTAGCTAATACTAATTCCCACAGAATGAAGGTTGCAATTTACGCTCTGTGCCCAAGGAAGACAGATGGAATGCCTTCCAAGTATGAAGGTAGCTGAGTCATTCAGCAGTTGCAGTTCTACATTAACCCATAACTGCACTTTGAAACCTTTTGTTGGAATAACTCATTATGCTAAACAGGCACGATTTTTTTTAAGAGTGGAATGAAAACCACCACCACAACAGAAAAAAAAGAAATAACATTTATTATCCTGTTCCTTTTTCTTTGTATTGGCTCACTGGAAGAAAACAGATGGGGACTGTAATAGCATTCAGAGATGCTTCAGACTAACCCTTGCAGTGTTGGAAGAAGGTGAGAAGTAGGCAGATATCTGAAAAGTATTGCAAAGTCAATGGCAAATGTCACTTTAGATTTAGATCCCTGTCAGGCACTGTCAATCTTGCACTTCCTGAAACACCACATCCTAAAGGATTTGCTTTATAAATACGGCTGGCCTCCACACTGCAAGCACTCTTCGGGGATTATGATCGCGTATTCCAGACGA